GTTCTTGCGCTCTGTGTGCGCCGCAGTGCGAACAGGAAAGTACATAAATTCAATTTAGAAAATTTACCAAGAGGTATTTCAAGCGATTGCCTGCTTTTAGGCGATGTTGCGTAAAAAAATATGTTTTTGCTTGATTAATTTTCTGCGGTTGTAAAAACCAAAGCGTAATGCTAAACAACGCAACAAAAAAAGTTGCAATAAAAACGTTAGACGAGATTGTTTGCCTAGGTGATACCCTTTGTTTGCATAAAATGAAGTATCTATAAACAATTTTTTTTGGCTAAGGGTTTTTCAAACTTTTGTGCGTGCTTCACATTTCGGCTTACTTTTCAAAGAATATATATACCTCTTCCGCCCTCTTGTTGCTCATTTTACGAGTACAGGGTATAAAATAAAAAACAAAATAGAGAAAAGCAATACAACGGAAAAGGTAGCAAGGCAAGCAAAACACCAAATTAGAAAATTTGCATATAGTGTGAGTGAGTGCGCAGAAAAGTAGACAACAAAAAGTTTCTGCCAAATCACATGCACACATTTGATATACGCACACACAGGAACACACCTGCTCCGGTCTATTATTTTCTTTATCAAACTAAATTAAAAAGTTTCTGCCTTCCAGATCCGTGCGACTTTCGATTATAATGAGCCTGTCATGTGGCCTCATGGAGTTTACGTTTTGTTTTTATTTCGTGAAATAATCTAGAAATTCAGCTGCCTAATGCCGAGTAACATTGGTAATTTATCAGCTGAAAAAACTGTGGCAGCCAAACAAATTTGCATTAAATGCTGTGCACAGTTTTAATTGCTTATATCATGGCAGCAAACATAAAACTCATTCCACATGATATACGGACTGTCATCTATCTGTGTGCCTTCTTGCCCCATCGGGCAAAATAAAGTTCCAACAGAAAATATGATGAATGCGCCGCGGAAACTGTACGCTGAGCGTGTGGCAAATAATGAAAAATTACGGCAACACATACACATACACACACCCACACACATTCGTTAAAGCACCCCAAAAACACACTAAACAACTAAAAACGGTTGCATGCATATACAGGATTGTGGTGCCGCATACATTTGGGCGCTGTAAAATATAAAATTCTATGAATTTGTACGTACATCATTTGAAAATCGTAAAACTTGCAAGTGTTGCTTGTCGAGTACACACACAAACACTCACACACACACACACACACAGACAGAGTCACATTGAATGTGTGCGAGCTGTCATAAACAGACACAAAAAGGTAAACTCAGTTTTATTCTTATTATTCGTATTTTTTTTTTTGTGTTAAAGGCGCATATACTTCTTTATATAATTATAATGCCTGGCCAAATGCTGATGCTTCTGATGAGCGTGACGATAATCATGACGCTTCTGCTCTTGATGGTGGCAAAGCTGAAAAGCTGCTGCAGACGATTACACAATGCAATTTGCTTAAATGGCTTAAATATTTGCCTAAGTTTATGACTGAGCAAATTGTGCCAAATTTTAACATGCTGCTGAGCCATGTGTCAGGATTCATAATTTTCACTCAAGCAAATTAAATTTCAAACGAAATTTAAAAGAAAAAACAAAGTAAATTCATTAAACTAAATTTGTGGAAACCGTAAATATTTATCTGATATTCAAAACCACAAACCTCTTCAAATTAAAACAAAACAACAACTAATTCAGAATTTTTTCATGGGTTCTTTATTTTCTTAAACTTGGCAAATTATAATAGAGAAATTTGAGAAGCAGTTTAGATGGGCTTAAGCTTGTTTGTTTATTAGAAAGAAATACTTTTTTTTTTTGAAAGAGAAGAATCATAAAAAGATAAAATCATTCTAAATGATTTAGTTCTGGTTCCCCTACTCAACAATAAATTCCTAAGCATTGGTGCGGGCATTTAATCAATTTTGTCTTACAACTTATTCCTTAATCCCAAATCACTTCGAGTAATGCGTGTGTAAATGTCACACGCTTTCACTCACACACACAAACACACATCGAGTGTCAAAATGGATGCAGCGCGAGTCAGGCCGCCAAATGACATAATCAATAATGAGGTTAAATTGCAGGTTGACATGTGATAAACGGCACTTGTGATGTGGGCAACTAATGAATGCCATGGACATCCGCATTCGTAATCGTAGCCGAAGTCGTTTCTTGTGCCATCACCTATCTGACAGGCGTTCTGTCGACGCGTCCGTCAGTCAGTCTGTCATGCAAACAAACAAAATCGCTTTTATTGTAATCCACAATGTCAAAACATTGCAGAGGATGTTTAGTAAAAGCATTTTGGACAGGGACTGGCAAGCGGAATTGGCACATCTACAAAACGTTGTGGCATGTGAGCGGGCAATTGAATATACATACGTACATACACGTTCTGGCATGTGCATGAGTGTGTCTCTGTGTGTGTGTGTGTGTGAGTGTGTGTGTGAGCGTGTGACCTACCTGCGCAGCTTTATCGCATGACACGCAGTTGTTCTGAAAATGATTTTACTATATTTTCTCGATTTTTTTCCCCTTCTCGGGTGGCTTCCTTTAACGACCCACTAAACCATAAAGTACTTACCCTGGGTAAGCTGGCTGCGAGCGAGAGAGGGTAAAAAAAGGTATGGGCCCCATTGATTTTCCATTGATAAATAGCTGACAGTTTAGCGTTCTCGGCTACTTTCTGTGACACACAACCAAACATATATAGCGAGGGACAAACACGGGTTAAATAGTTTAAGACTGTCTGCTACATTAAAAAACAATTTCCGTGAAATCTCTTTCAAGCACAGCACGCACGGTAAATGGAAAATGAGCGATGAACTGACGCTGCAAAAATGAGTTAAAATGTGAATGCAAAATTTATGTAAAGCGGGTTAACGTTGGGGCTTACTTTGACAGGCAGTTCGATTTTGGTTGAGATCCCCCGAGGCCTTTTGGCCAATTGCCCAGGCAGTGAATTGATGAATGTGCTGCGGGTGGCAAGGATATGTGGGCCGGTCTGTTAACTGATTTCCAATCATTTTATTTGTCGGCAATAACTTAATCTACTTGTAGCCAATTAGCCAGACTGTTAACAGACTATGTTGGAGCAATGACATCTAAAAAAATGCAGCTCAGTCGACATGGGTGAATACTAAATTGATCGAAGCCCCAAATTAATGGATTGAAAACATTTCACAAGGCAACCCATTGATAGCTGTGTAAAACTTAAAGCGATTTCTGCGTGGGTCAATCAACTGTCGAGTGGGCGAAAATATGTCACGGGAATAAAATGCGTCCTGCGGCGTTCACATAAAAACAAAAAAGAAGGGAAAAAAATCTGAAAGAAATATTAATAAAAGATGAGCGACATTAGTGTCTTCTTCTTCATTTTCTTATATATTTTTTTTGTGTGCGAATGTCCAACCCAAAATCGTAAAAGTAGCTAACAAAAAAAAAAAAAAAAAAAGAAAAAAGGGAAAAAGAAAGAAAACACTTTTTACTACTTCCTTTGAAACTGAATGAACACCTCCTGCACCCAGGACTTAGCGTTTTGCATTGGCTGTCATCTAACCTCGAGCGTTTTGTTGACCTTTTTTTTCTGGCTCTGACTACAAAAAATAGATGCTGTTGGTTTTTGCTATGGCTCTTTAAACCGTTGCCAAAATGCAAAAAGAAAATGCCGTAAAATTTGTAACACTTTCTGGACTAGACGTTGGGATTTTGAGACGGCGACATGGACGCAGACATTGAGCTCGAGCTGCTTCTTGCTCGGCAGTTGTTGTCCCCTGCGAAGCATGACAAAACCAACAACAATAAACGTAAGGAACAGGCATCAAAACTTGGCCCCAGGCACAATTTGTCACACATACATGACACATAAATAATATATGTGCGTACACACAGTAGCCGGTCTGGCTTTGGCTGTCTGTGTATGTGTGTGTGTGTATGTGTGTGTGTGTTTGTGTGTCTTGTCTTGGCCCTATTTGATTAATAAATTGTTTAGAGCGCGCTGAGCAATGACCGAAACTTACTGACTTGTGGCTAATAAAATATGAATGCCGCAACTTTTCAGCCGCAGCATCAAAAGGAGAGACACATATACCCTACACATATGTGTATAGTATATACACATCCGATTCACAAATTAGTCATGCGCATATATAAATTTATTTGGTAATTTATGTGCTGCCTTGAATTGTGTGCCTCAAATGGTGCGTACATTTAACCTCAGTTAACGTTTGCATTAAGACGCATATGTTTCTGCCAAACTGATTTGAAAGAACGTCTGAAAAACATGGCTCCTAGTTTTGGCACGGCCTGCATTGCGTATGCGTAATGTAAGTTTATTTTCCGCTCTGTCATATTCTTTGGCTGCCTATTTGGGTTTTTTTTGCCTATGATTATTTTTTGTCCAGTTTTTTATTTTATATTCTTGTTCTTGTTTTTAGGGGTAGCTCTTTTGATTACATCTCAATCAATTGGCGGCTGTTTTATGTTTGCACATTTCAACATCAACTTTCGGCTTTTGAAATGTTCATTTTTTATGATGCCTGCGGCCGTTGTGATGTTTTTTAAGGGACCCTCTCATGAAAATTTGTAAGCATTTTAAGCTGTTTCCTTTTGCGGAGACTTCTTTCGGGCTTTCCGTTTTCTATTCTTTTCATTCCTCTTTTTTTTTTGTTTTTTTATATGTATTCAAGTTGTTTATATCAAATTACAATTTTATTATATTGCTGAATTGCTTGCATGTATATGTTATATTTAATTCAAATAACTCGGAAAAAGAAAGCATAAATTCTGGATTTGGCTTTTGTTAGAAATGGATTTAAATTTACATTAATTTTACGGCACCGGAAAACAATTAAAAAAAAAAACAAAAAATTAGGTAGGGATGAGCTCAATTTTGAGATTTATATTATATCATATGTAAATGTTTCTTACTGCCTGTTACATACATTTGCTTTTAGTTTAGATACCTCCTTTGTTGCCTTCCAAATGACTAAGTGCAATTAGCTGTAGGAAGGAATAGATATATATATATATTTATTTATCGTACATGCTTTGCCTCAGGACAATTGAACTGTGTGCTGTTGATGTAAACGAAAAAAGCATACTCAATCTAGCTGCAGTTCGGGTCACTCAATGTTTGTCATTGTTCCTGAGGACTGAGCACATGATGATGGCAACTGGCAGTTGGCCTCGCAGCTGTCTGACAATGCTGGCAGCTGATTTTTTTGGCAATGCTTTGTTTGGATTCCTTACTTCTTGCTTCCACATGCGCGAACAGAGCACAGTTTCGTGGTTAACTTACCCAAACACACACATACACACACACAAATATGCTCATACTTGACTCGTATGCACAAGTGATTCGCAACCCACACACACACACACATACGCTCAGCTCATTCATCAGTCATGCAGGAGCAAGAGCAATAACAACAACAACAGCTAAAGCAAGTATAAAAGTGAGCTCACACTTGTGCATTCAACATGTTTTTGCAATTTACAGATTTCAGCGCTAACTGTACACGACATCCGCTCTCTTTGCCTGACTTTCCTCCTCTCCTCTCCTTTCCTCTCCTCTCCTCTCCAGCCGCTCGGCCAGTGCCACGTTTTGCGTTCATCAGAGCGCAATTCAAGCGGAATTCTGCGAAATTTTACTTTGACGTTTATGCATTGCGTATACGCCGCGTTGCGCGTTCGTCTTTAATTTTGTTTGCTTGAGCGCGAGACAAGCATGTTATTTGATTAGACATTAAAAGGCAGCTAGAAAAGAGGGCATGAAAGGCGCAACAAAAACTGTTTAAACAAAGTTGAATTCTTGTCAGAGCGTGAGTTAAGGCAAACAGCATTTATGACATTTATATTTATAATACGGTATTTGTATTTGACACAAACAGCCAGGCAGTTAAGTAATTGAAAGTTAATATCTGTAGCCTGACAGAGCGGAAAATAATCAAACAGCTTGCGTCTCACATGGCGTGTGCGTAATGTCGCACGGTTTCGCATAGATACGTATGCCGAATAATATATTCCGACACACACACAACTGTGTAAGGCATCTGTCAGCCTAATACCTTTAATGTACTTTCTGCCTGGAAACGGGGCAAACGGAATTTATCAACTAAGGCAAAGCAACAGTTTTGGCCTAAAGAAAATGGACTCAAGTTGGTTACCACGATTTGTGCACTCGTTCGCTGCTATTTTTTTTATATAGGTTTTTATTTATAGATTAACAGCGTCCATCATGAGCATAACAGGGCGCACAATAAAGGGAATACGGAAACTTGCTGTTGGCCATGGCCAAATCTCAGCCTCAGTCTTTAAATGTTTCAAATTGTCGGCAAGGGATTTGGCATGGCATTTACGCTTAGATAAGCGCCTGTAGTTGGCTTATCTTGAGGAATGCTCGCATTTTTATGCCCGCTGCTGTGCTTAGATTTATTACTAGCCATTTTTTCTGGTTTCTCCTCTTTTTTGTTGTTGTTGTTATGGTTGTAACCTCTCCTGGACCAGGCGTAGCAATTAAAGTGCTTTGCCATGTGCTTGTCGAATAGTTTGGGGCATACTTTTAACTTAGCTTCAAGTGTGGCTTACAAATATGTAAATTATTTCGCATTAATGTATGCTAAAAGTTGCGCAAACTTTTGCTTGATTCAGTCATTAAGTAAAACTTTTTTTCTATACCCATTATACATCAAAGCGAGAGTTTACTGTAAGCCATATATTTATAAAACTTAATTACGCCGAGCTGTAGATGACAAAGCAAACATATGACCAAAGAATATTTCACAAAAGCCAAGGAAAGAAAATTCGCATAATATTACAAAGGCAAGTAGTTTCATATGTGATTAAAGAGGGTGAAACTGGCAAAAAAAAAAGAAAAGAACAAAAAGGAAAAACAAGAAAACTCGCGAGAACCAGCAATGCCAAAGGCAGCGGAAAAAAACTTTGCAGTTTAGTGAAGTGCGCGCCATGAGAGACATAATTATGCGATTTAACACTCTAGTGCCGGCTAAGTGGAACGACAACCGACAACCACCAAACCCAAAGCATCGCCCCATTGCCCCGCCCAGTTTCAGTCTCAGTAACAGTCCCAGCCCCAGTCCTCAGTCTCCGTCGCATCATCGTCGTCGTCCTTGCGGCGTCCTCGTCGCCGAGGCGTTGAACAAAGGAAGCGTCTGCAACAAGAAAAGGAAATTTTTGCGCTAAAAGTGCACTTCCACGCAAAGTGAGATGAAAATGAAAACAAAAATAAATAATGTTTTCCTTGCGTAACTAGTGCTCAATTAGAATATACCCTACAATAGACCACGTATATGATTAAGCCAAAATATATAATCTCCGAAAATCTTTGGCGAAGTTACCTTACATTTTAATCAAAATGAAGTCTTTGTACCGATTTAATCATGTTGTTCAGCCGACTTTTAAGCTGAGAACTTAAATAAGTTTAAAGGGTGTTTCATTTTTTTGTTAAAAATTACGTAAACAAGTTTGTCATGGAAGCTTTAGATAAGATGCTTCTAGGTACTTCAAGAACGTCAAATAGCCGCAACTATGTACAAACTGAACTGCACTCATGACACTTCGATCATGATTTGACCTCTTAAGTAATTCTGCATTCCGAACTTTGGAATTTATGAAATTAAGTTTTGCTTAGATATTTTGTCCATTAAATTATATACAACATGCTAGCACTAAACTGATTGAGATTTCACAAATCTAATCGATTCAAAGCTAACACGCGTTAATTCTGTAAAGCTCAAGCCAACCTTTTGATTTAGTGCAACGTTTGATTGGGAGTTGAATTTCTCTAAAGAAGTCAATGCAAATGATTGCACAAAATGCCTCATTTAGCAGCTAATCAAATAGCTTAATTTCTAAGTGGATAAACACATAAATAGCTATGAATGCAGCAAGCCGGGCAAACAAAAAATAAATAGTACCACGAACAGACCTAGGCCCTGGGCCAGAATCCTGGCCAAATGCTAAACGAATGAGCGAAATTGAATGAAAATTATGCTGCCACTTGCCTGGCTGCTTGTCGGTCTGTCCCGCTGTCGCAGCCTGTGCGTCTTTCTGCCAGATGAAATTTTATAAAATAACTTGGCCCTTTTTTTCAGATCAGTGAACTTTTTGCCGGTGCTCGGGACCAGAAAGAGCAACAAAATACGGCATTCATTTTTTGTTAAGCAAAATTGAATTGTATTTTGACTGATGCTCAGCCCAAGGCGTTTTTTTTTTTTTTTGTGTTATGACTAACAAATGGCCAAGGCAGTCAAGCGACTCGGGTCTGAGAAGTTTTTGCGACTTGTAGTGCAGAAAAAGTTTGAATACAATTCAAAATGGGGTTTTACAAAATATAATTTAGAAAAAAATTAGTTTAGTTTAATTGAACTGAAATTTCTGTACATTTTGCTTTCTAAAGACATTTTTCTAAGGTCTGTTCAGTATTAAACAAAATTAAATTCTTCAAAGCACTTTTCAGCCATATTACAACAATGTCCTATAGTCTACTTCCTGTAGCACATAAATAATTTAATTTTTTAACGCTAGCAAAATTGAATTTTTAATCATCGTATAGCGCTTGGCGGGCTGTATGTGTGCGTGTCAGTCATAAAATAAAATGAAATTATACGCATTTGAGCTGAAGAAATGTTAACAGCAGCGTCAAGTGAAAAGAAAAAAAAAACGAGAAGAAACTATGAATAGTACTCGTAGTTTTTAATTAAGACTGCGAGGGGAGCCAGGCTAATGGTCGAGCAGCCGCGCTGTTCAAAAGTGTTAACAATTTCAGTTTACGCAGCTAACAAACTCATTTTGTTGGGGACGACAGTAAGCGCTTTAAGGACCTGCACGCGTGTGTGAGTCCTTCGTGAGGCCCCGTACGGCTTGAGCATTGCAGTGCGCAAAATGAACAATGTTGGGGATTTTCATTTAAGCCCATGGCTTTAACTGAGCGCTTTGCTATGTACACCACACACAAGCCCAGACACCCACACTGACACACAAACACATATGAAATCATAGATCCGAACTTTATTCGACTGCCACAGGGACCACATGGCGTATGAGCGATGCGTTCCCCTAACTTGCGTTATGATTTTACGCGCGCTTATCTACACAACTGCACAACAGCTAATAAATGTGTGTTAATTAGTTAGCAAAGGCCGCAGCCAAAAGCTGCTCTTAATCATAATCATCATAATTAATATGATAGCATTGTTATGTTTCGGTCTCATGTATAAGTGCTTTACTAAAGTTAGTCACGTGGTTGGCTTAGATCTGATTAATTACGGCTGCAATAGAAGCTTATTTATAATTGCTGCCATTCTAGGTCTAGAGTTTATAATCTTAAAGCTAACTAATATTTTGTGCCAATAAATACTACCAATTAATTATATACCATCGGTTTTTTTTAAATTCATGCACCCTTTTGGCAGCTTTCATTTGAAAAGTTCACACAAAAATATTATTTCAATTAAATTCAGTTTTACCACAACCCTCCCAAAGCACGCCAGCCAAGTGCGAACCCTCTCGGGCAGACACTCAAATGTCAAAAGCGGGCAATTAATCATTTTTCTTTTTCTTCTCCATTTTTTTTTAATAATTTATGCATAGCGCCAAACTTTGGGCAGTCGTCAACAACAACCCTACTCTGGCATCCATAAATGCCAATAAAATGTCATGAAGCTTCCGATTGCCCATTCTGTTAAATATTTTCTAGCCCCGCTCTCTCTTTTATTCCTTCTCTATCACGCTGTCATTTTTGCCTGTCATTAAAACGAATTTTTCAATTCAACTCAATTGAAATGTCAAAATGCTCATTAATTTATCAATTCCTTGACGACCCTTGCACATACTTGACGCGGGGTGTTAAAAAATTAAACATCAATTTGCAACCTGCTATTATAATATACCCTGTAATCATAAACTAGACATATAAGCTCAGTCTTTTGACAAATTAATATATATGCAAATATTAATATGAGATCACGAAAAGCGTATTAAGTATTTATGTGTTTTTGTATGTAGCAGAAGTTACTTCAGAATTGGGGAAATCGCATATTTACAGGGTAACTCAGAGCGCTTGTAAAAACCCGCTGATCAGTTTAATCAATCAACCTGCACCGTTGTCCTAGCTTCAATGCCCTGCCCAAAGTCTGAAGAGCATCTGCTGCTGATGTTTTCTATTGAAAATTGAAGAATTACAAACTGAAAATGTTTGCTGCTTTGAATTTGACCCTTGGACGCAGCTAATTTATCAATGCGAAGCGACATTGCAAATATTTTGTTTTGTAATGTAAAATAATTTTTCCTGCCCTGCCCTGACCTGTCCTGTCCTGAACAGAGGCAGCGAGTGGAAAGCATGCCAAGGACTGTGCTCTCGCTTCGGTTGGTTTATGTGATTGAAAGCACATTGTGTCACACTTTAATATTTATGACAAAATGCCAGTTGGCCTTTGGGGGTCGTCGGACTATATTTAACCTCTGCTGGCAACTTTTCCGAGCATATATATATATATATTTTTTTTTTTTTTGCATTTTTCTCGTTTTTAATTACGGGTTTCATCTCCAGGATGCTGTTGTCCCTGGCATTTCCTTGGTCATATTAGAGCTCGCAAAATATTATTATGGAGTGCATAACATTTTTTATGACCCACTGGAAGAGTGAGGATTTTTCCATTAAATAAAAATATTTTTTTTGCTATCGTTGTGTCACCCTTTTTTGTATTGACTTTTGAACACATCAACCGCATTATATTCACCACAAATGCCGCAGCTCATACAGACGAACAAGTAGGAAAAATCAATCAAACTGTTAATCGACTTGTGGTGCGCCCACCACCGCCCCACACCTCTAGCCAAGCCACTCGCACCACTCGTGCGTACCGCTGCTGCAGATTCCCAGCTCCCACTTCGTGGACACACACATATACGTGTTGGTCCTACCGTTCCCCTTTTCTCTTTTTTTTTTTATTGTTTTTCCATGAAATTTCCAACCATAAAATGTCAATAATAT